ACAGGAGAACTGTAAACTGAGTTGACGGCCACACCATAGAATTACACCAAGAACCCAAACTCCACAACAGAAGAGAGGAACAGGAATAATTATCCCAGCTGGAAGGAAATTGAACACATAAGATCCAAGAAACAGAAAAATAGATAGAGAATAGAATTAGTCCTAAAAGAAAAAAAAAACTCTCATAAAGCTGTCTTTGTTTTTCCTTCTTTTTTTTTAAAAAAACCCTACTATTTTATTATTTAATTATTAAGCCTCTGGCAGAAGGGAAGACACCGAAAAGATTTAGTTATTGAAATTAATTGTATCCAATTAGCTGCAGTGGAGCAGCTAATTCGAGCCAGCTCGCTTTGCAGGTACTATTCGACTCGTGGATGAACGGTGTAGTTTTTGGATTTACTGACAATATATGTGTGTGTGTGTGTGTGTGTGACAAAAACTCATGCAACGTGTCTTTTTGCATAAACTCACAAAGTTTCCGCTGGCTTGCTGCCTCGTTCGAGCCATGATCCAAGCAACTTTCTGCGTAAGGTGTACAAACGCTCTCTAGCCTCACCTGACCTTACGTGTCTTGACGCGCACCTTAACTTTGCAAATAATCGATAAATAATGATAATGATTTAAAAATATTTTTTCCCAAAACGTGATGACCGGCAAGTTATTTTTGGACAATAATGCTTAATTAATTATCTTAATTAGATTAGAAAAAAAAAACATCTACAGGTCGCTCTAGAGCGGAAGTGATGTCATGCATCCGATCTGCGGACTCAAAACTAATATTATAAAAAACAAAATTACGTGCAACTGGGCCGTGCTTATGTATGTCAGACACTTTGAGCAATATTTAAATAATAATAATAATTAGAAAATGTTTGATAAATCGGCCGAACAACTATCAACAAAGGACTTTGATTACCTATCGTGCTCTGCGCGCGCGATGCATTCTGGGAAATGAAGTTCAGAAAAAGAAAAACAAAACAGACGGACTTGGAAAGAGGTGTTGTTCTTGTACAAAACTGACGGATGGACATTCGGTGTTCGTTAACGAAGCACACAGGGGGTGCGGGGAAATCCATCAATAAACAGCCTGTCACTGTTCCATTTTAAGTCATTGTTGATATTTTTCTTTATTTTATTTAGAATTATTTTTCTGCAAGAAGCAGAAAATTGCTCTGCAGAACTTGGAACGAGCAGAATCTCTCACATTCTATGGAAAAAGATCACATGCTATATCTACAGATCTAGGCAATAATAATAATAATAATTTTAAAAAAAAATTCCCCAAAAAACTTGACCACAGGGGAGTTATTTTTCGGATAATGTTTAATTACTTCTCTCTTTAGATTATTAAAAAAAAAAACTTTCACGTCAACGCATTACTTTGAAACAATTAATAAAAAAAACAAATAACTGAGAGTGGGTGGAGGGCCGCAGCTTCGATAGGCGACACCTGCTGGAGAAGAAAAGAAGAAACGTGGATAACGACTTCTCACTCTGATCTGTCAGCACAAGTGATTCACTTAAATTAATAGCAGTTCTCAGTGTTTGTTGTCCACCGGGAACCATACAAATCACCTGGCCACAGGTGATTTGCTGAAGCAGCTCTGCAGGCACATGGGAGATAGAAGCGAAAAGGAGCAGTCTCGTGGGATGATGCGACTCAGGAATATTGTGGATCCCAACTTTCCTGACACAGGTATTAGAATCAGACTCTAAAAACTGTTATATAAATGTTATAACGTATCTGCGGATCAGATCTAATTCATTTTGCAGCACGTGATCCTGGCAGTCTTTGGATAACGGGATTTCCAATTCAGTGTTTTTGTGATTGGGATTTTGGGGCATTTAGTATTTTTTAAAAGATAGTGACTATAAAATAAGCCAGATATCACCCTGTTTGACCCTCAAATTTTTGCTGTAAGAATTGTTAATAATTAGCTGATAAATTCCCCCAAATACATAAAGATTGCAAACGACACTCTGCTGCACCACCCTGGCTGTGCCAGAATGAAATATGAACTAGAAAATCTAGTTTATTATGGTATAATAATAATTATACTATAATAATATGATAAATTATTGCTTTGTCTTGTCACGTAGCTTGCTTTATCCTAACCTTGACTCATTTTTTTGTCTATCCAAACACTCCTTACTTTTGAAAGTGCCTCTTTTATAGAGCTTCTCCTGTTACTCCTCTCTTGGACAGTAAATGTTACTTTTTCTGATAAAAGAGAGGTTCAGCAGCAGAATGGCAGAACAAATCAGCCATTCCTTGACTGTTGCAGATTGTTTTATTTTTAATTCTAGCACATATATTTACATTTGAGCTTTTTAAGAATTCAGTGTTTTTCTATAGAATTTGAATTATTTTTTGGTAATTAGCAATGTAGTAAAATAATGGAAAACAAAGATCTCTCCCTCTTCATATTTAAAGAATTTAACATCCTGTGCTGACTGTGGTTCTGACAGTGTCTATTTACATGGATGTCATTGAAGACTTTTAAAACGGCTGTCTCCGTGCTGTGGTTAGACCGGAAACCAAAGCGTTTCGTTATTGTTAGGAAGTTTTTTTTTTTTGTTTTTTTAACTGCTTTTTCAATAATTTTACTGATGAATGGGAGGTCAGAGGTCGGCCTGTAATTCTGCAGTAGTGATTTGTTTAGATTGTTCTTTTGATCAGTGGTTTGATAACTGCTGTTTTCAAAGCCTGGGGGAAAATACCTGAAGAGAGCGATGAGTTTAATATTTGGATCAGATAATTAGCAATTTTTCATTCATTAGCAGTTTGTTTCTGGTCTCCGGTAGCAGAAGTAGGACTAAACAGAACAAATATTATAAGTCACGTATCTTTAAATAAACTTCACTATATTTATATAAGCCATTATTAAGACGGAGTTTATTGTGTCATGTGTTGTTTTAATCTATGTTTATTGCAGAATAATAATAAAACAGTTTTTATGAGTTATAGTAACATAATATATGTGTGTTGGTGGTTCTGCGTTCTGATCCAGGGATGGAAGCCTTCAGCCTGCGGTACCACTGTGGCCCGCTGATCGGCAGCGGCGGCTTCGGTTCTGTGTTTTCGGGTAACAGATTGTCAGACGGACTTCCAGTTGCCATAAAGAAGATCCCCAGAGACAAGGTCTACTGCTGGGCCAGACTGGTGAGGTTAAACTCCAGAACCAGAACCAGTTCAGTTTCCACCTGAACCCAGGTGTCTGCTGTACAGCAGAACCGCAGGAGGGATGGGGGGGGGTGTTCCTTGGAAACCTGTGATGGTTCCATCACAGGGAGTCATACCGACCTACCCAAATATGAGACCGATCATGATTGAGACCCATTTGGCTTGGTTCTGATTCTGTGGTGAATTAAATAGTTCCTTTATTTAATTCTTTATTCCTTTTTTTAACTCACATCTTGACTTCCCACAGAGTGACGAGCTCAAAAAGGTTCCCATGGAGATAGCCCTGCTGCAGCGGCTCTGTGAGGTCGGTGGTCACGGCGGCGTGATCTCCATGCTGGACTGGTTCGAGGTGGAGGGGCAGGGCTTCATGCTGGTGATGGAGCGGCCGCTACAGTGCCAAGATCTTTTTGACCTGGTCACGGACAGCGGCGGGTTGCCCGAACGCCTCGCTCTAAGGTGGGCCTGCGCTCGTTACTTTGGTGACATGCTACGACCCTGGGCGCCCTGATGACTTGGCTCCGCCAAACGCAGGTTCTTCAGGCAGACGGTGGAGGCGCTAAAGTTCGTTCACGCGCACGGCATCGTGCACAGAGACGTGAAGGACGAGAACATCTTGGTGGACACGCGGACGCTGGAGGTCAAGCTCATCGACTTCGGCTCCGCTGCTCTGCTGAAGGAAAAGGCGTACGACGACTTCGAAGGTATGGAGCCGCTGGGGCTAACGGGTCAGTCGGTTGGCGGAGCCTCATCTGTCCCCTCCCTACAGGTACAAGAGTCTACAGCCCACCTGAGTGGGTCCAGGCGCAGTCTTACCACGCTGAACCGCTCACCGTGTGGTCGCTCGGCATTCTCCTCTTCAACATGGTGTGCGGAGACATTCCGTTCCACTGCGACGAGGAAATCATAAAGGCCACGCCCTATTACACTCGACATGTCTCTAAAGGCAAGTGCCGACCTGCTACTCCCTAATAGTTTGAGTTGTGTGTGGTGCTGACTATGTCTGCCACTTCCTGCAGAATGCAAGGCTCTGATTGATTGGTGTCTGTCGCTCCGGCCGGAGGACCGCCCCTCGCTGGAGCAGATCCTGATGCACCCCTGGATGGAGGTCGGGGAGAAAGAGAAAAACGAGGAAGGGGAGCACAGCTCGCTGCCCTTTGCAGCGCTCTGAACCGGGTCAGAATGGAAAAGGAAATATAGTCACTTTTATTTCATCAATAGCTGCTCCTCTTCCTCAC